CTGTGTTTCTAGCATGTTCCATTTGTGTGTTCTCCCTGCTGTCACCATCATCTATTATCGTCTATCTTCCTTCATGTTCAGGTTCGTGTTCAGTAGTTAGTTGTTCCCAGTATAGTTTAGTTCCTTCTCCGTTTGCCGTTTGTCTATTTTTATTTTGTGTTTAATAAACCACCTTCACACCTTTACAAGAGCCTGCGTTAGGATTCTCCTTTATTACTTCCACACGGCTCATCTTACTCGCCGTGACAGAGATAAAAGGAAGGTTTGAGATTGGCCTATAATTAGCTAAGATAACTGAGTGAAGTGATTTTTTTTTTTTTTAAGTAACTGTTTAATTACTGCCAGCTTGATGCCCTGTGGTACAGAGCTGATTAATATCGTATCGTATTTAAGATTGAAGCATTAATTAATGGTAGGACTTCTTTGAGCACTCTTGTAGGAACGGGGTTTAAAGGACATGTTGATGATTTGGAGTAAGTAATTACGGGCATTGACCCAAAAAGATCAATCAGAGGGAAAAACTCTAAATAAATATCAATAGTATTGAAAGCAGCTGTATGTAATGATACATCTGTGAGATGGTTGCGAGTATTTTTTTTTCTCTAATTATTAAAATGTTATTTTTAAAGAAATTCATGAAGTCATTACTGGTTACAGTTACAATACAACCGACTATTCGGTTCAACGGAGCTCTGAATCTCTCGGGCTGAAGAGAAACAAGGGGTTGTTTCTTATTCAAAATAATATACTCAAAATGAGATCTTGAAACGTCACTGTTTTTGTTTCCATGCACCATATTGTCAGTACATTATTTTTCTCAGCTACAAACTTCTCATTCACCTGTCCTCTTGACTGCAGCGTCCTGAGTGCCACCTTGTTGGAACCTTGTGGAAGTGACCCAAACGCGGCTGGCACACCATCCAAAGTGTGAGCCAGCCTGCAGTCTACATAGATGTGAACACGACCAGGGCCACGCTGTAGACCGCTGGCATGGAGCATCACGTGGTGCTCTTGTCCATCTGCCAGGGATGCATGGTTGAAACTGGTTGTACCAAATCTGCCATCAGTCTTCTGGTAACGAACAGTCACTGCAGATATAGAGATGCTTGAATGAAAGCTGTAAAGAAGCTAAAACAAAGAATAGAGTGGCCTGCATTTGCCACAGGCTCCTCAGTATGTGTCAGTGTTCACCTTTGCTCAGTTTGGCTTGCATGGTGAGGTCAAGGTATTTAGTGTTGTCTGTGGGGTTGATGACACTGAAGAGAGAGGTGGGTGCCTTGCTGTGGAGCCTAAAGGACGAAAGCAGGAAAGCCTCATCTCTTCCTTTGTTCTTCAAGCTTCCTTGGAGCAAGTCTGGCAGACAGTCTGGTGACACCAGCAGGTCGTAGACTAACACAGGAAGGAGAACACTGGATTAGCACTATACCACAATTGTGAGAAGAAATCTTAAGAGAAAAGACATATTTTTAAAACAAAGCAAATGACCAGTTCATCTAAGTATTTTCAGTATTTTGTCTTATTGGCTGCGACTCCCAGCACACTTTGTTTTGCTCCTGCTGAGTCAGTGCACTGTGGTGTTTTATTATGTGTCACAGTGTACTTGTGTATGTGTGTTTGTGCGTGTGCACATGAGTGCATTCATGTCAGCATCCTGCTGTGTGTTTTTATGGTGTAGTAGACGGGAGCTGCAGAAAGGTCCAGCAGTAAACTTTTTCCATTGGAACAAACCCGCTGCCTCACACTCACGCACATAAACACCCACTCACACACTTTCACATAGCCATTAGTGGAATTTCAGGAATAATACAAAGTGACAAGAAATTGCACGGAAAAATCTGTATGTAGATTCCAGGAAAATCAAAGATTTGCAAATGCAGTTCTCAGATGACGGTTAGTGTCCTTCTACCACCTTATTTAGGTCAGACTGTTCTGGATCCTGGACATAAAACTCTACAACCACAAAAAAGCCAACCTAATTTCCAGCAATCACCATCACCAAATCTACCCCTCCCTCCCTTTTTTTTGTGCAACTCACTTTCAAACAAAAGCTTTTTAGGAATATATCAGCAGAAAAGATTAAGTTTAACACATAAAGAACACAGAAAGAAAATATGTCATGCTTTGCAGAAGGGCATGCACAGCGAGATGCCGCCAGCACTTACCAACACCTTGAGCTGTGACAGTGAGCACCAGATGCTGTAGCAGCAGGGACAGAGCTGCCGCTCTGAGGCACATACCAATCATCAGTGCTTCAAAGGGGGGGCACACCTCAAAAGAAGTCCTGTTTCTGAACTGCCCTCCTGAAGATCAATAAGCTGATCTCACACAGGCTGAAAATAAAAACTCCAGATCTTGAACCAAAATCTCAGCAGAGGTGAGATGGTCTTGTGTCCACAGCCACAGCCTTTAAAGCAAAGGGGAGTGTCCGCTACTGTTACGAAAGTGGCACAGTGAAGAGACCAATTTAATAGTCTGGGCGGGGGAGTGTCCCTTTGCTAGAGCAATTATGATTAAATAATTTGTAAACAAGAAATTTAAAACTAAAAAAGGGAATTGGAAAGTTGTTTGATTCTGAAAATGACTGTCAAACTTTTTCTCTCCACATACTGTATGAGCTAAATGTGTGCGGGATTTATGTATTTATGACCCATTTTTTTTATTTAGAGTCATGCTACATTGGGGGATTTGTAATAAAGTAGCTGAAAAGTGCTCTAAATCACACTGTATAGAGACAGCCAACCAGATGCCTGTGAAGCTCAAGGGAGGAACATTTTGGTTCCAGCTGGCTGTTGTTATTTTTTCACAAACATCATGAATGTGTGCCATAAATGAGGATCCGATGCCCTGGCTCATCCTCAGTAAGCCAGCTGAACTACATAAATATACAGCAGATGTTTTTAATTTTAAACTGATTTAATGTAACGGGTTCTTTGTACCTCTGCGAAGCTTCTTTTGAGAAGGAGAATGCAGGAAAGGAGGAGCAGAGAGGGCGAGGCTCGGGGCAGTTTTCAGTCCTGGAAACATTTGATGATAGATGTCTGGTGCTCGTCATAATGCTTTCTCCTTTAGCTAACCTCAAGTACATTTCAACATCTCAGCTGCTGGTTCGAGCCAGTGAGAGACATTTACCATCCCTCGGTGTGTTATTGCGGTACATCTGCCTGTGTCTGGCTGCCTGGCCTTTGAAAAAACACCTGGCAGTCTTTAACAGTCTGCCTATCAGCTCTTGGACAGACGTTTTGCTCTGGCGGGTAAAAATAATAATCAATAAATAGACACTGAAATGGAAATTACTACTTTACATGGAAATCAAAATATGAAATGATTGCTTGTTCCATTGGTGCTGTTTAATAAATCAGTGTTTCGTGACAGATTGCTGTTTTAAATGTATGAAACTAGAGAACATTAAAGAGAAACTGAGTGATTTGACTTTTTCAGCATGTCATTTCTGGCTCTGAAGTATTGCCATAATAGCAGCATAAAACACTGGAGAATCATTAACCACATGACTTAGTTGCTGATCAAAGAGTTTAATTACAATTAACATTTATTCACTGAGTATTTGCTTTTCTTGCTAACCTCGTCACCATAGCTCCAAATTTGCCTGGAAGTATCTAAGGAGCAAGGCAAGGAACAAATAAAGGATAAATTAAGAACTACTGTAGCTGCTGTATAACATACACTCACTGTCCACTTGCTAGAAGGTGGTTGGACCCCATTTTGCCTTCACCAGCATTAATCCTTTGTGGCATAGATTGAAAAAGCTTCTGAGATTTTGGTCCATATTGATATGATAGCATCACACAGTTGCTGCAAATATCGAATGTGACTCTCCCAAACCATGGCATCCCAAAGATGCTTTACTGGATTGAGAGCTAGTTGCTGAGGATGCTGTTTGAGTACACTGAACTCACTATCATGCTGAAGAACTGAGATGATTTGAGTTTTGTGACATGGCTTGTTATCCTGCCGGAAGCAGCCATCCGACAATGGGCACACTGATCAGCAACAATACTCAGGTAGGCTGTGGCGTTTAAACAATACTCAGTTAGTACTAGGAACCATCTGTGTGTGCCAAATATCTAAATATCTGCAACACTATTACACCACCACCAGGAGTCTGAACAGTTGATCCAAGGCAGGATGGATCCGTGCTTTCATTCTGTTTACCCTTCCATCCGAATGTGTCAGCAGTAATGAAGGCTCATCAGACCTGGCAACATGTTTTTCCCTGTACAATCTTGGTGAGCCCATGTGAACTGTGGCCTCAGTTTCCTGTTCTTAACTGACAGACGAGGCATCTGGTGAAGCCCACCTGCCTTAAGGCTTCAAAGTACTATGTCTTAAAAAATGCTCTTCTGCATACCTCGCTCATAAAAAAAAAAGTTATTGGGTTCACTGTTTCCTCCCTGTCAGCTCAAATCAGTGTGGTCATTCTCCTCTCACACCAACCAGGTAATTTCACCCACAGAACTGCTGCTCACTGGATATTGTCTTCATTTTGGACCATTCTCTGTAAACCCCAGAGATGGTTGTGTGTGGGGAAAAAATGAAATGCTCAGGACAGCATGTCTGCCACCAACAACCATGCCATGCACAAAGTAGTCTCAATCTCCTTTCTACTCCACTCTGATAATTGGTTTGAACTTTCCCAAGCTGACTATGGTGCCTAAACACATAATGCTGCTGCCATGTGACCTGCAGTCCCACAGAGACTGTTTCACACCGTGGAAGCAGCCATGAAGAAGCTGGGTCAGTATCTTTGTTTAAAATAATTTGGCTGAGAAAAAAAGCTTTAAAAAAAAAAAAAAGTACTGAATTATGAATCAATAAATAAAAGAATTAATAATTTTAAAAAAGAGTTACAGAAAATGCTTAATATTTGTTATGTGGCTTGATTTTTTCTGTTTCTTCCTTCCTTCCTTTCTTTCTTTCTTTTTTTTTTTAACCCTGGAGGCTCTGATGTGAAAGGTACCCTGTGACGTCAGTGTCCCATTGAATGAACCAAAACATGGCGGCTGCCATGGAGCTGAGATGCTGGGGAGGAGACTGGGGTTTGCCTTCTGTTCACACCGAGTCCCTCATAGTTCTGGTAAGCTCACAGCCTGTTTACAAACACAACACGCTCAGTGCACCTGGAGCCGCTTTTAAAACGGCACGTCACGTCTCCGGTTTGCTTTGCGTCTCCTCTCTTGTCCTTTGTGGTTAGCCTCCGTGCTAACTTACCTGCTGCAGCTTGCCTGGTAAGTTAGCCGCATCGATGTGCAGGATAGAAAATAACAGCGTGTCCAGCTGGACTTCATGTCCCAAGCACAGAGTAACGGCTGTGCTGGTTGCAGGCTTTGTCCTTCATGTGTTGCTGGCTGTCATAAGTCACTCCCATTGTTTGAAAACCTGTGATCTCTCAAGGTCAGCTGGTTGAGCCTCGGATTTAAAAAATATTTATATTTTCAGGTGCATTTGAAGGATTTTCGCTAAAAAGCTGTAGATGATAGCTAACCTGATAACACCGTTCGAAAATTAACATTTTTTTGCTGCTAACATGTTATCTGTCATTGGGTGCTCTTGCCACAAGGTGACACTTTTTCTTAGTTTAAATGTCAGATTTTAATGGAATAGTTTTGTGACTCTGATGGCTTTAACAGCCTTACAATTTAATCGTACGAAGAAGCAGGACAGAGTGTGCCCTCTTCATTTCTTCTTGAACCTTTTACTCAATTTAAAAACAGAAGTTTTAATGTAGTTTAATGTTTTTGGAAGCAAATGTGGAATTTCTTTGTTTTGAATGCATCATTTTGTTTTGGCAAACCTTTCTTGATTTAGAAAATAATTATGTATTGATTTAGTTATGGTTTAGTTATAGTATGTTGTGATTTGCTGTTTTGCGTTTGTGTGTGTGTTGTAGATCATTGTAAACACTGAAAGTGACTTTCTTTTACTAAAAGGTTTTTGCACCTGGGTCTCTTCGATTCAAACCATCAAATACGCCTAAACATTTTATGGTTCAAAGTTTGAACATGTATAATGACCAGTTTGAAACTTGTGCTTTGTGTTTCAAGATATATTTTTGTGAAAACTGGTGCGTCAACCCATTTAAAAAAAGTCTGAACCAGTGTTTGAACATGAATATCTCAAAAACTCTGTGTGAATACTGATTAGCTAAAATCTGAAAAAACTAAAGCTGTCCTGTATACTCTCATATTTACGCACACACTGAAAAAAACTTAAAAACTTATACAAAAGACAACTAGTGAAAATTTCTGAATGCAATCAAGTTACATTTCACTATACTGCTAAATAAAACATGTATAGTATTTTTTATTAACACTAAACTTTTAGTCACAAAATGTTATTTTGATTCCACTTTCATGATGGATTGAACAAATATGCCAAGTTGTACCGAAAAAACACCAAAAAAATCGATTGATAGTTTAATCTGAATAGAACAAAAATAGATATCGGTATCTGCCCCAGTTTTTTAAAAGATGGGGGAATGACATACCTTTACAATAGTCCCCTGTAGCCCTAACCTTTGCACCTGCTGGTCTTTATTTTGATGCCTTTTTAATTTTTCTTCTAATTTTTGTTATTTTATTTACCTTTTCTCTCTTTCTCTGGAGCTGTTGAAGGTGAGCGCTGTAATCACAGTGTCCCTGTGCCAAATTAGAATTTGCAGTCGATGCCAAAGTCCTGCTTAATTGCGGCGAGCTTTCATCTGTACTACAAGACTGAGATTGTGTAAAACTTTGATTAAAGTGTCACAGTCCTGCACTGTGGCTCTAAAAAGTCTAGTACTCATCTCCCTGAAAGTAGTTGTATCCTGTAGTACTTTTGCTCTTAGATCATTTGTTCCAACATAACATTACATTTGAACTATAAGTGATATATTTTTAAAAACCTTCCCTAAACCGTGTTTTCTTTCAGGCATACACCAAGTTTTCTGGGGCAAAAGTCGCAGTTTCTCCAATAGACTGGACATGGAAAACAATTACAGGTGGGCTGCACCCTCCCATAAACACAGTCTTACAGTTTTAGGCTCTGCATGCCTTAAACAGAGAATCAGTGAACCCATAAAAGAATATATAACTGTACATATAGTTATAAAGAATGCATAATTCATGCATTCTTTTAAAATATTTGTATCTGTTCATGCATCTTAAATTAAATAAATATTTACATATTGAAACTCAAAGATCTGTGAGTTTCTGAACCATGCCTTTTGATCTCTGCAGCACACTTGCAAAGGTTTTGCGACTGCGTCTTGCACGGTTGTGGCACAGACTTAACAAACTCTTCCGTGTAAACGCCTGCCAGAGTACTCAGAGCCATCTCTGAGGCAGTTCTTCCCCCAGTTTATTTCTCGAGAGACCGCATTTTTCCTTGATAGTACGCACACACATGATTAAAGCATTACCAGCCTCCCCGTTGTGGCCGGTAAATGTAAATTACATTGAGCATGATGAACTTGATTGTCTTTAATAAGACATTAGTCAGTTGTAATATCCAACTTTAATGTGTGTTTTCTATTAATCACAGTGACTGTCCCAGAATTGCTTTGTGGCGACACTGCAGTTCAAGAACCAACACAAATTCTTAACTTTCTGAGGAAACAAGTGAGTGTGCCTGCTTCTTCAGCATGTGTCCTAAACTGTTTAGCCAAATCTATAAATCAATACATCTATTTTTTATTTAAACAGAGGTTTAATGCAGACTATGAGCTGACAGCCAGACAAGGAGCAGACACGATGGCCTACATCGCTCTGCTGGAGGAGAAGCTGCGACCAGCTCTGGTAAGTCTTTCCTTTTGCTGTTTCCCTGGCAACATCTGGTCGTAAGCTAACAGGGTGATGTCTGCGTCCCACAGCTGCACACGTTCTGGGTCGATGCAGAAAACTACTCCAATCTAACACGGCCCTGGTTCGCCTCACGCTCGCCGTTCCCGCTGAATTTTCTCGTACCAGGACGTCTCGCCAGTGGCGCCCTTTCCCGCATCCTTCTAACCACAGGAGAGGCGCCACTGCACAGAATCTCTGAGGTGGAGGGAAAGGTAAATGCCGCTCTGTACCGATGCATCGCTTAGACACAGTTTAAACTTCTCCTGGAGTGAGATTCTGTTTTTTCAGAGCTGTAAATGTGTCTCTCTCTCTGTGTCCTGTAGATCTACAGTGATGCTAAAGAGTGCCTGAACTTGCTCTCCTACAGACTGGGAACAGCTAACTTCTTCTTTGGCAACTCGTGAGTTCTCCAGTGTTTGCATACTTTTTGTGTTTAGTTAGAGAAGCATTCATACACACCACAGTTAGACTGCTATGGGGAAGCAGAATATACTAAAAAAAAACCTGAAAAACTCGCATAATTCTGATTTATTTGACTTTTTATCTTTGCTTGTCCTTGGATTGCAATTCAGCTGAAAACCTATTAAAAATGAATACATGGAATAAACAAAGTTCTTTATTCTTTAGTCCTTCACCTCTGTAGGTTTTCTGGGTGTTTACCTGGAGTGGTCTTCACCAGGTGTTTATTGGCTGTCCTCTCTTTCTCCTCCCTTTGGAGGCTCCATGTGAGGGCTTGACCGATGATGATCAACACTGGTTCTTGTAGCGTGCTCGATTCCTGGCCTTTCATTACTCTCTAGTAGCATGTGTCAGCATTTTAGCCCAGAATGGAGTGACCACCGGCCTGAGCTTCCACCACATGAGCCTGCAAGTGCTGATGAGGACAGATCCCATGTTAGCTCATATATAGAAGTCTGGTTACAACTTTTACTCCTTTGTGATTGCTCTTTTTAATAAAATACTTTTTTCCCATCATCCTGGCTCAAGCTGAATTAAACACTGTGTGAGTTTAAGTTTTTAGGAAGGAGAAAAACACCATTAGGAATATTTTATCACAGCAAAATATTTTATTTTAAACATCATTTTTGTTTTCCATAATTTGTCATGAAGGCGAAATTTTAAATGAGAAGTTGATTAATCTCGCAGCTCTATTTTGTGCAGGGAAACAGCAACAGAATTTTGCTTTACAGATTTTCTGATTGAGGGTTTATAAAGACCTTGTATAAGTTCTGACATGTCTGAGTGTATGTTTCTGTACATGTGTGTGTTTGTGCTCTTAGGCCGAGCAGTCTGGATGCCTTTGTGTTTGGTTTCCTGGCTCCCCTTCATAAAGCCAGTCTTCCCAGCAGTCCTCTGCAGAGCCATCTCAGACAGCTGGATAACCTTACAGGCTTCTGTGACAATATCCTCGCAGTCTACTTCAGCTCGGACCACCTTTGTAAGATTGCTGCACAAGCTGGTAATACTCTATAGTGGTTATAGCTTTTACTTGTAAGCGCTTGAAACAACTAACATCTTTACACAGATCATCATCAGCTCTTTAATTCTTCGCACATATTTCTTTCTTCTCTTTCTTCTGTTGGTTTTACTTCTGGGTGTTAAATGGTCTAACACGGCTCCTGTTCCACTCACTGTCTGCTTTCTACTTTTTCCTCTTCTTCTTCTGTCTGTGCTCCCTCGCCTGATCTCTCTCCAGGTCCTCTCCCACCTGTTCAGGAAACAATGGATGCCAACCTCCAGAAACTAACTCAGCTTGTAAACAAAGAGTCCAATCTGATAGAAAAGGTGCTTCTGCTTTCCTTTTTCTCTTCTTTTGCTTGGGTTCATAGTTGCTTTCTGCAGGTACCATCTCAGTCGTGTTTATGGTGTGTTTTCATTTCTCGCTTGTGCTTGTGGGCACTAACTAAACTGTACATCCTTTTGCTGTAGATGGATGACAACCTGCGCAGCAGCCCACAGCACAAACCCCACAGACCAGAGCCCAAACCCAGTCTGTCCAGTGCAAAGAGCTCTACTCCTGCCTAACACCTGACCTTTAAATCCTGCTCCATCTCTATGAATCGCAGAGCAGCGCCCTGGACACATAAGATGCTGTTCAGAACATGACTCTAAAAAACAAAAACAAACAAAAAATGAATGGAAGCATAACTATATAAATACAAGAGGCTATTTTAAGATAATGATGAGAGATTTTGTTTGGAAGAGAAGTGACAGTGCATGTGAGGCTTTTAAAAAAAAAAAAAAAAAAAATGAAGCGTGCATGTATGTGGTCAGCGATGGATTGCTGTGAAGTGGTGCTTAATGAGAAAGACACAGAAAGTTCAAAGAAAAAGTCCAGCAGGGAAAATCAGCAGCACAGTTTAACCTCTGAATGTGGACCACTCGGCAGATTTTCTTTTAACCTTTTCACTCTATTTTTGTTTCGTTTAAAGGGCACCTTCGAACCTTGGTCACTACAGTAGAGCACTTTTAAGCTAGAGCACTTAACATGTTTTACCACCAAGGATCTCTTTAAGTACCTTGCTCGTGTCAACCTTAAAATGTTCCATAAATTCTGTAAACATTTGAATGGGTGTAATGTACAGTATGTGCGCGGACATGACTATAAGAGTAACTAATTTAACTCCTCTGCTGTGTACAGAGTGTACAGTTGTAAATATTGTTATGAGGATAATCAATGAAATTGACTTCCTGTTTCCTCTAAAAAGGAGCAGCTTATTCAAAATGTTGTTGCTAGACACACGAAGGTAAGAGAAGGGCCATCCATGCTTTATATTTGTGTGTGACCCAAGGATCATGTGGTTTTTTTGTTCACGATGTCATGTGGCTGTAAGAAAATACTCACTTCTGCTGTTGCTTTTGTTTTCTTTTTTTCCCACTACCATTTTCGCTCAGTTTTGTTTCAATTTTGTGCTGCTATAATTTCCTGTGCCACAGACTGAAAGGGTTGGAAATGTCTCATTAGTTATCTTGGTTTGTTTTTTTTTAAACACTATAATTTGGACCACAAAGTTAGAAATTCCCTCGATGAAGTGTTTCTTCTCCGTGTGATTCCTTTACATGATTTCTCTTCACCTCAGACCTTCAAAAACTCACTTCATGGCTGCATGCCCTTGAAAGCACCGTGCTCTGAAACAGATGTGCTGGGGGGGGGGGGGATGCTGGTCAGCCATCTTGTAAGGACCATAAGGGAAAAGTGTGCCTTCATGACTTCTCGTGTCTTGTACAAGTGTCAACATGCTAACTGTGTCCTTCATCATTTTGATACATGTATCCAAAATTATATTTGTAATTTCTGTTGCTCACAATCTGTAAGTGTCTATTAAATTACATATATGATAAAAACCGTTTCTGGCTTTTTTCTCTCCCAGTATTGTTGAATATTGTGGCGTAATTGAACAATAGTCAAAATGTCCTCTAACACCAGACAAGAACTTTCTCACAGACTCTCGCCATCCTGTTTAATTTCTGAATGCTGATCTTTCCTCCATCCTTAAACCAAGCCAACGCATCAAGGCATGCTTTTGGGTTTTTCCAGTAACAATTACAGAAAATTTCTCTGTTGCCTGCTGTACCTCTCTGACTGTGTGATCATTTGTTTAGATGTTGGGAGGATAGAGGGCTCTTTGTCTGGTTTTGGCCTTCAGCCTGGAAAAAATTAATCGCAGAGAAAGCTGAGAGGAAGCGACGCATACTTGACTCCAGGTATTGTCCAAGTCAGTCACATGAAGGCGAGTATCCTGCTCAGATTTCTCCTGGATGGTTTGGGAAGCGGGTGCAGTAGCTGGAAATAAATACCACATTTTGGATCTGTTAGAAATTTCAGTCTTCTTCTTCTACCTTTCTGTGCTGGAACAATATGTTTGTCAAGTAATATTAAATAGCATCAAGAAAAATCTGGTGGCTCCAGCAGAGTGTTGTCCACCACAGGAAGGCTGTCCCTCTTCAGAGGGCTTTTCTCCAAGTTCCAGCCGAAGAGTCCAGTACATCACATGGAGCATCTGGTCACTGATGTGTTGCATGTGTGTACCCTCCACATTTCTGCTCCCTCCCTCTTTCCATTTTCCCAGAAATGATAAAAGGTGTCAGAGGTGAGCGAGAAGGGGGAAAGGGTGTGATTGCCTGGAAAATAATGACGCAATAACTGCGAATGTCCTCTCCAAAAGCATGTAACTGTGATGACCGCTTGTGGCTCACAAACCTGCTTATAAAAGGGGATTTGAAAGTCTAAATGGAGTAACAAATACATGGGTGGAAATACGATCTTTAGGACAAACACCAAAAAAGAAAAAAAGCTTGTCTGGAAAATAATTAGATTTCAGTTTCTTTTTGTGGTCATTTGGTTCAGATCAGGTTTACAGTTATTTTTAAAAAGACAGTAATACAGTTAACGGAGCACCAAGGCCCCCTAGTGGTGACATATTATTAGGAAAATGAGTCAAAACACATCTGCAGCACAGAGGTGCTTGGTTCAAATGAAGGGGTCCTTTCTATGCGGAGTTTATGTGGAGCTTCCTCCGACAGTCCCTGCAACACACTGGTGTCCTGTCCAGGGTGTACTCTGCCTCTCTGTGACAGCTGAGACAGGCTTCATCAAACCCTGAACCTGATAAGGGGAGGATGGCTGGATGGTAAATGAGTCAAACCAATTAGTTCAGTTGAGGAGATAGAAAAATAATCATGTTCTTTCAGACCAGAGAAATCCGTTTTTACAAGACAGAAGAAGAAAAACAGCTGATCTACATTTGTTGACACTCGCACATAAGAAACAAAGAACTGATTGCATCTCTTTAAAAAGGTTATTTACACAAAACAAACATATTCACATTATGAAACAGTTTAAAAAGTGCCACAGTGTATGTTTGGAGACACAAACTCAGTCCAAAACTTTGTGGTGACAAAAAAAACCATCAAAAAAACCATGAGTAATAATTTGTTAAAGGACTAATTATGCAGTGGTTGTGTTCGAACGTCTATATGTTATTAGAGCATTTACTAACAGCATCTGTGATGAAGGGATTGAATGAACAGGGTGAAATTAGAAATTAGAAAAACGTCTACAAAAACAGTAAAAGATTGTCACATGTTCAGAATTATAACATTTTTCACATTTCATTTTTCATTCACGCTCATCAATGGGGGAAATAAATCAAAGCACTTAATTTAAATCCATTTATATGAAATAGAACCTCTATTTTTTAAATTGACAGTGTCCTTTTTAGGTATTTTTTTTTTACCTAGATACAGATATAATTTGAATTCAATTGCAGAAAACTAGCTTTTAAAGCTTTATGTGGTTGAAGTACTGATAATAATAACTTCGATTTGTATTCCACCTTTCAAGAAACTCAAGGATGCTTGAAGTGATCGTTCTTCCATCAGCTAACAACACACAAACCCATATATTAGCTTTAGAGGAATCATCTCTTCTACATTATTCTTCAACATTTTAAGAGTCCATCGTGACCTGTAAACTCTCCACTGTGTTAGGCTACTAGCAGAGCTAGCTGTCCTTGGTAAACTCCGGCACCATCGGCACCATGCTGAGCTCCAGGCTGCCAGGCAACTCCAAAGCCAGAGCGGGTTGGCATGGCTGAGTGAAGTTCTGTCTGAAGGTGCCTAATAACTGACCGCTTTGGGCATTGTAGAAAGACAGACGACTGAGCTGGTAGTCCAGGAGAGTGCCCACTCTGTCAGGCGTCTCAGTTACAAACACGCTGGACTGAATGTCATTATGGAGTAACTGATACCTGAAACTGGAGGGACAGAAAGACAGAGAAAAGTGGAAGTTAAAGACCAAAACTATCAGAAACATCACAGCAATGGGTGAAAATTCCTTATGTTTACCCTGATGGTGAGGGAGTACACTGCAAACACCAGGACAGGCTGTTTTCCCCCACTGAGCTGTTTCTGTTGGCTGTGCTGTATGCCACTCCGAGCCTGTAGGCCGTACTTTGTGACACGCTGGTTTCCCAGTAATAGATCCCTCGTGCTGGCAGCAGCTCACCAAGGATGGATGGACACCTTTAGGACACGATGATTTTAAAAAGAGTTTTCCTAATAAGGTCTACTGGATGTGTTCTTGGGTTACACTTACTGTGTGTCTGTGAGCGAGGCGGTTTTGTGTGCATCCTGGGAATAGTGCAGAGTGGTCTGGTTCTCTGAGAGCTGGAGAGCAGGATGAGCTGATGCCTTCAGCAGGTGGAACCTCGTCCCTCAAGACAAAAGTAACAGAGAGTATAAAAACATAAGCAGGGGAGCAGAAATTCTGTAGGGTGGTTGTACACCTGTGAACATAAAATCATCATAATCAAGATTTCCGTGGACTGTTCTTTTTACCAATTTAAATTAACTCTACTGATTCTGCCAAGTAGAGTAGTATTCAGTCAGAATTATACCAGAAGCTTATTGATGGCTACCAAAAAACATCTCTTGGGTGCAACTTGCTAAGCCTGCATGCATACTTTTGATCCTGTGTGGATTAGAGAAAAAACAAAACAATTCTTGTTTTCTTGTAAGGCATTAAAGATGTATGCTGCACAATCATTACAGCCTGGAAAAAGAACAATACAAAGTAATCTAAAGCACCACATTACTGTACCATTCATGCCCATGATGTCATGTACATCCTTTAAATTTCTAAACATGATTTGTGAAGTGTGTGTTCTTGATACCTTTTGTGGAAACGAGTGCAGCCTCGCTCTGTTCACTGGCCCCAGCCTCGTTCACAGCTTTGATGTAAAACAGGTAATTCTCACTGGGCTGCAGGAGAATCTTTTGCTCACAGGTTTTGATACCTGAGATGGATCTGGGAGTCACATCAGCAAAAATATATGCACAAACAAACATTTTACATAAACATCTAGTATAGTAACATGTGTCAGTGTGCTTACCGGTCTGGTTAACACCCACCTGAGCCCTTCTCCTTCCAGTTCATACTGTCGGCAGTACTCCAAAGTGTAACTCTGTCCAGGAGCCCGTTCTGCTGAGCTCCACCTCAGAGTAGCTGAATCCCACAGGATGCTGCAGCGCTCTGTGTCAATCACTGGCACTGAAGGAGCTGCCAGAGAGAGACAACTAATGAAAAGTACACCTTTATGGTTTTGCAGGACTTTTCTTGCTTCGTCTGTAAACTACAAACAGCCAGATTGCTTCCAAGCACATTGTCTTAATATAGCAGAGGAGAAATCTGAATTCTGTCAAGCATGTCAGGAAAAAATGAAAGCAGTTCTTCAACTTTTTTATCAGACAACAGATGTGTTGCTATAAGTCCGGCGTGCAGACTGACCAGTTCTGAAGGTGAGTCTCTCGCTGGGCAGAGAGCAGCCTGTATAGTTGACAGCCATCACCCAAACCTTGTACATCTTGTCAGATTCTAGGTCCTCCAGGACACAGTAACTCTCCTTTACTGTCACACGGTACTCCTCTGACACAGCTGTGGACCACAGCAGATATAAAACACCTCAAATGTAACCCTGAAGACAAACATCTCCTTACATTTATATACTCAGAAACCTTTTAATTTGTTCACTGTTCAACATCATTATTTTTTAAAAAGATCTACAACTATTAGTCTTCCACAATTTTTCAGTTTAAGAAACATCCTGTAAGTATTTACCACCCTGTGGATCTTCCATGCAGTAGACCTGGAAGCAGTCTATGATATCTCCAGGGTTGACTTTCCAGTAAACTGTGACGCTGGTGCTGGTGGCTGAGCCCGGCTCCTGCGGCAGCAGTGTCGGCTTCTGGGGCACTGAGACACACACCAGGAAGCTTTATGCCACATATACGTACATGTGATATCACGAGATCTGCAAACACAGGGTAAGCTCACAGCAGACCCACCTGGGATTCCTTTTCGCTGAGCGAGGTTTGAGCTTGAAGTGTTGGCCTTGGCATAGTCCTCAAACACCAGCAGTCCCTTGGGACCCAGCTCCATTGTCGAGGCTGAATCCAGAGCTGCTGTAAGTCTGACCATAAACCACAACGTGAATCAGCATTAAAAGTGTGAGCGATCTGCTTACTTGTCCAACTTTATCATCCAGTTTCCCAGACATAGATTAAGCCTGAACCTAACCTTAAAGAAAAATTCAGTGACGATCTCCATTATAAAGACTACATTTAATCCATGCCTGGGAAACGCAGCCTATATGTTATATATTTCTATGCTATGGTAGATCAGTTAGAAACCCTCACCCATGCTCACACCACATGGATCTTTATTTTGTGGCAATCAGTATAATTATAAAATCTGTCTTCTGATGATACTGACCTTCACACCTCTTGGCAAAACATTTTTGTGTTAAATTCATGTTTTTGGTTAAATAAATTAGCACTTTTTGACTTTTTGTCACGGCTTCTTAGATATGTAATAATAAAACAAAAATTCACTCATGCATTTTAATATCCAGCATACTGGCATGCTCCACAGGTTAAGGTTCTGGAGGTCAAGCAGCATGCCAAACTGGTTGCCACTAAAGTCCTGGGAAACCACACTCGTTCCCAAATCTTTAATTGAAAGCAAATTACCTTGCATGAATGTCTTCAGGCGACTAGTGGGGGGGCAGATTGAAGAAGATTTTATTAGAAATTTGACACAAACCCTCATGAGCAATGAACCAGAGGAGCTTCAGGACTCACGCTGGCCTCAGTCTCAGCCTCTCTGCTTGCGGTCTCCAGAATGGCCTTGGCCGAGTCAATGCTCTCCTGGAAGGAGACAATCTGATCATAAAGCTGCTCCAGCTTGGTCTTCTTTTCCTCCTCCATGCTGACAGACATGTTATTGTACTGCTCCATCACCACATCCATCATCTCCTTGTTCTGAGCCTTCATGGCCGCCTCGCTCTCTATGAACTGATCCTGAGCCAGACGAACAGCAAAGAGAGGCTTTTGATTAAACTCTACCACGAGCTAACAGTGCTGCTTAGAGCAACTAAAGCATGCTTTACCTCCACAGAGTTGTAGGCAAGCTCCAGCTCTGACACCAAGTCCTCGATGTTCTCCGATCTCTCCTGAAGCTCTGAGATCAAACCACTCAGCGACTCCTGTTTTACAAACACTTACAGGTTAAATGAAGCTTGTGCGTAAGTTCAGTAAGGAAGATCTGCAATCACTCATCTCCCTGCTTTCCTGGGTGTTCAGCTGCTTTTCTGTTCTTTACATCACTACTGCTTCCCCATCCTGTCAGTCTCAATACTGACATCATTACTCTAGTCCAGTCATCTTCTTGCCCACCTTCTTTGAGCCAATCAGCATCCACTTTGTGTGGTTTAAATCTGTGTTCTCGTCATTCTCCCTTTCAGACTCTCCTCCCCATCTCCACCTCACAGACACCTCAGTTAAAGCTCCATCCAAGAAGGCTTGGATGTAGTCATCATCTTCACCACCACCAGCATCTAGACTTCGGGGGGCTCCTGTCCTAAATCCTGTCAGTGCTGGGATTTTGTACCACCATCGTCAAAGTCTGATTGCTAAAAAGTTTTTCTGTCTCAATAAATGATGTTCAGTTCTTCCAAGTGATCTCTTTTTATTGAAATATCAGTTGTAAGCACTCTGACAATAATGCAAATGTGCAAAGTGAAATATTTTGCATATGATGCCAAAGCTGAGCCAAAGCTCTCTCAGAGTTTGTAACCTCAAAAGATTATAAAGTTTTAAAGAAAATCTAGCAGATAAACAAGAATACAGATCTCTTTGTGGGCTGGTATCTCTGCCAGGGTTTCACAGAAGGTGTTTCATCTTTTACAACATTATTAACCAACTGAAAACAACATGCTTTCTTTTTTACTCATTATAACAACTTCTCAGTTGCTCTGTTGAGTTCTTTATCTTGTTTAAAGATTAAACAAATCCCTCCCGCAAGTTGTTACTATTCAGAGAGATAAAACGGGTTCATCCTGAAGTTAAAACACGAGTCTGCTGCAGCTTTAAGGAGAGCCATCAGAGACGCTATTCCAGGAAGAAGAGCAGCGGCGATCCCCTGTCACCGCTTCAGCACAAGCAGCTCACATTTAACAGGGTCAAGATGTGGTCACTGATCGCTCCCTGCTCTCTGCTTCTTGACAACAACCTCCTCACTGCTAAGAGTCAGAACAGGTGTTTGAAGGAGAACGTGTGAACATACCTGCACACACAATCCTGGGCCAGTCACACAGAGATAGCCTTTAGCTTTACCAACAGCCAGACTTTAGTCATATGTCTGAATGTATTCAATTAAGATTTTTTTCCCAAACAACAGCCACTTCTTTGAGTTATTAGCAATCATAACCACAGTAAATTTTCAAAGCAGTAACTGTGGTCTTGAAAAGGTATTTCCCTTCACACTGCTGGCTCCATAATATTCAACCACAAATTATGGGCCCTGACATCTTAGTTCTAAATTAGTCTGCGGGTCAGCTGGGTAATGTTTTATGCTTAAAATAAGCCAGTCTTTATTTTTCTGAATGCCATGAATTTCTCATCTAAGAGCAGATTTATAACATTACAGAGCAGTTTAACACATGTTTGACAAACAGCCCAAACAAAGTGAAGTGGTGCAATGTAATTTCTAGCTTGGAGAACTGGACCGGACACGAGTTTGCTAAGTTTCCATGGTGAGCATGCCAGGATCAATTTTCCTCCTCTGTGGAGTACTTGAATATACTGCACTTCTTGGTGCTGAAGTCAGACTTAGATTAGAGCTTTGCTCTTTTGATCTTTATGTTGTTTACTCTCTACAGCTGTCAATACTTCACATAAATATGGTGGATCACACATCACCAAGACCTGGTTCAAATATCAGCTGGAAATGACATTCAATCTTTCTTAAAATTGTTCCAACTTTCTCTTCATTTAAGTGCCAGAAGTCCGACATACCCCTCTCCTGTTGTCAGGTGTTTCCTGACAGACCACACAGAAAAGCCTAAATAACTTATGCCTTAGTGAGGCGTGTGTGTCTAGGCGTTTTCTCTGATTGTTGCAGTAAAATGTGTCTTGAACCTTCAGCCCAAAAACACAGATCTGTGTTTGTTTACATTTTAATTTGAGGAAAAAGACTAAAATAGCTGATTGTTAGAAGGTTTCATTTCCACACGTGATGGCTGACCCTAAGCTCACCCAGAGGTACAGCGAGAGAGGAAAGCGCGCCTGTGTGTGTGTGTGTACGGATCGCATATCATTTTCTACGTGATGATGTCACACTGGACCTTTGCACCGATCAAAGCAGAGCATTGCATCACTACAATTCAATGTGCTTGGCTGCAGCCTGAGAAGTGGCGGCCTGTTGGCATTGAATGGAAATGTTGACTAATCTAAGACCAGTTTATTATATACTAATGCCCGTAAAATGTGTGATGTTCATAACAAGAGTTCATAACACTGGTGAGATGTAGGATAATGAGCTGCTATTTGATTGCAGTACTCGTCAGTCATGAGTGTGGTTTTTGTGCTGTGTCAGCAGCTACATGTTTGAATGATGAAACAGTCGGGAGCCACTTTGACCTTCTAGAACCAGAGAAAATAAAAAATTTTGATTTGATTTTACGGTATAAAAACTGGTGTGACTGCTTTGTTCAGTTCATGATGCTGTGCCACCTTTTGTTTTCCACTCTATATCGTAGTTCAGAAAGGAAACTATATCCTGACTACTGCTCTTGGCTTTGTTTTCAGGCTTTAGGAAATAACCACTGTAGGCTAGATAACCCCTTACAGGCTGTTTTAGACAAAATCAGGTGAGGTACCATAGAGAGCAATTACATCAGCATTAGTTGTAGGATGTAGGTCCTATCCCAGCTGCCATAAGGCGAAAGGCAGAGCACAATCTGGACATATGGCCGTTCAAATTCACACCAAGAGGTAAATTAGAAACATCAATAAACCTAACCCCGTGAACTGCATGAACCAGAGAGAACCAGACATGCAAACTCCACACAGATAGTGCTAACCGCTGCTCCACTGTGCTGCCCTGCGTGTGTAGCTGTGCTTCAATATTAGATTACCTTTATTTCTTCGTAAGCCGTATCCACGGCAGTCACATCGTGGCTGTGATGCTCTCCAGACATGCAGTCTTTCTCTGACATCAGAAGTCCACAGGTGAGACAGAACCAGTCCATCGCCTGTAGCTCAGCAGCTAACTGGGCCTGCATTTCCTCCTCTGCGTCGATTATTTCATAGTCGGCCTCAATCATTTCTTCTTCTTCTTCTTCTTCTGGGAAATAATCTACCTTCTCTACCACCATCTCTTCATCCTCTTCTTTCTTCAGAGTAGGCTGTGGTAATAGCCCAGCCACATCTCTCTGTGTTTCAGGTTCTGGCATCTCCTTTGCATCCTGTTTAGAAATCACTTCATATTCCATCTCAACATCAGGCACATCTGGGCGCTCTGCTAATCCCCAATCTTGCTCCATTTGTTGCTCAACATCCTCTCTGTGCAGATCAACATGTGGAACTAGATCTGCTTTAATAACGCTCGTTTCTTCCATCTCGTGAATCTCTGCCATCTGTTCTACGACTGTTTGTTCAGGATGTATTTCCTCTCTGTGGACTTCATATGAATCCTCTTGGGGAGTAAAGATGATTTTGTCTTCTTCTATGGGTCTCTGAATCTTCGCCTCCTTGGAGTCAGCTTCCTCTACAGGTGCAGGTGGCGAATAGTCCATATCGAAATCATTCCTGGTTTGTTCTTCTGCAGAGGTTTCTGGTTCTACTTTGACTTCAGGCTCCATCATTGTTTCTTCTGCTGGTGCCTGAAGTTCAGCTGTGCTGTTAGACTCAGGGAGAGGAACCGTATCTTTCTCTGACCACTGGCTGATCTCTACATCCATCTCTACAGCTTCTCCTTTGGGGACGAGGAGGATTAGCTCATCACCTACGGTCACTATGTCTTGAACCAAAGTCCTACTGGTCTCTGCGGGTACTTTAGAGTTTGTTTTGTCTGATTCACCATCAGCCATGTCTTGTTGCTTCTGCTGAGTTTTAAGGGTTGCATGAAGTTTCTCATCTGCATCTGTCATGACTGCTTCTGAAACAGGCTTGGTTACTTCAATGGACGTGGCTGTGACCTCTAACCCTTCTTTATCCAACTTGTCCTCAGCAGTAGTTTCCCCTGTCAGAGGTTCGTGTCCTTCAGGAATACTTCTCACTTCCTGAAGATCAACACAAACTTGGGTTTGAATCTCTTTTTCATTCACTGCTTTTTCCGTTACCTCCACAACAGTGTGCACTGCAGCATCACAGTCTGTGATAACCTCAACGGGTCCAACATCTTTGGCTTCTTTGTGCTGTGACGCTGGTGTTTGAGCCGAGGGTTCAGTCAGAGTGAACGTTTCCTGTGTTACAGTCTCAGGTTCCTTCCCTTCAGCTAAGTCCTCTGCTTTGGTTACTAGTTCTTCATCAGCAGACTCTATTTTGGTGTCAGAAACAACCTCCTCAGACAAACTCATCTTCCAGGCTTCTGCTTGTACTTCAGATATATTGACCGCAGGAGGCACCTCGCTGCTTACAGGTGCTTCTATATCTGCACGCACTACAGGTGTCTTCTCATCAGTCTTTTCTAACACCTCCTCACAGCCATGCTCAGGTTCAGTGCAGCTTTGCTCACACTTTTTTTCTTCTTCTCTCTGATGACCCTCACTCTGTTGTGTGTGGTCTACTTTACAGTCCACCTGGGGAGTTTCAGGAAGTGGCTTTTCTGAGCTGCACTCAGAAGACTCGGTCTTGTCTGTCTTATCTTCAAGCTTCATTTGTTGATCTTCCATTTTTTTCTCTGGTGGTTTAGACTCTTGACCTGAATCTTCCGAGGTCACTCCAATAGTCTCCTCCTGAGTAGCCTCAGAGAGTTGCACTTCCTGCACCTCTGGTTCCTCCTTCTTTACCTTTTCTTTCTTTTCTTCTTCTGGCACTCGTATTAAACATCCTGTCATTTCAAACTTACTCTGCGGCCACATCATCCTTCCTTCGCTCTCACTGGCCACCGGCTCTGGTTGAACATCCAGCGTATGAGATTCGTCTTTTAAAATGAACTTCTCCAGGTACCCATGTGCCTCCTCTGAATCTGACAAACGTCTCCTGTAAGACTTCTCAGATGCCACGCTCTCTGCCTCAGAGTATTCCTCATCACTCTTCCTCCTCTCACCCACAGCATCCTCGTAAAGGTCAGAGTACATGAAGGACATGGCAGTGGGCTCCTCCAGCAGGATCGGGTCAATGATCTTAGGAGGTCCAGGAGAGATAAAGATGGGCGTGAGAGTGGTCTCTTCACTCTCAAACAACACTGATCCGCTCCCCTTCATTGACCTCTGGCTTTCTCGTCTGCTTCTCATCCCTCCTCGGCTTTCAGTCTTGTCCTCTTCTCTCTGATGTAGTGCATCAGCAGGAAGTCCTTCTCCATAGAAGACCTCATCAAGGTGTTCCCCAACTATATCTACGTCCGAAACAAACACGAAAGAGTCCTCAGATGCAGAGGGGGCGCCTGTGGCTGTTTCTCCAGCAGGCTTTTGTTCCTCAGCTTGGAGTTTTGCTGCAGGCTGTTTAAACTCCTCCTGCAGCTCTGCTTGTTCTCCAGGAGCCACCACATCCAAAAGGGTAAACTTCTCGAAATAGTCAATGTCACTGGTGCTTTCTCTCTGAGTGGGTGTGTGTCCACGCTCTGTGTCTGCTGATGGCTGAGAAGAATCTTGCATTGAGGACTGTGGAGAAATTAAAATCAGCATCTCAATCCAAAAAGTGCACTGTAACACTTAAACTGACAAATGAAACATAATAAAGATCAAAAAGTTCATTATAACAATCTTTCAAATGAAACAGAAAAGTACCTCCTGGTGTTCCAGTATTTCCTCCCCCTCTGGCAGGACTTGATTATGTTGCAACATCCACTCAATGTGATTATGAGACTTGATCTTTGGAGTCTGATCCAGATAAGACAAATTGTCCTGCAGCTCTGTACTCTCCTCCTCGTCCACAGTGGGTAGTTTAGAGGGGACTCTAATGTTAAGAATCTCATAGCCCTCTGAAATCAAACTAAAAAGCTGCTGATCTTTGCTTTTGATTTCCTCCAAGTCCGTCTCTGTTTTGCTGTTTTCCTGCTTGACATTGGGAAGTGAAACCTCTGCCATCTCCGGTCTCTCCACTCCTAGAGCTGAAGCCGATCTTGAGCTACCAGGTCGGCTCAGCCTGTCCCCGAGCCTACTGCTTCTTCCTCCAGACCTCGTCCTCCTGCGGACTACTTTCTCCTCATCAAAGACGATGGTGATCTTTCCTGCAGCTCCAGAGCCCTCCATGCTGTAAGCTTCAGAGGTGGAGCTCGTCTCAGAGGCCCACGGAGTAGAGCAGCGGCTAGAGGCAGTCTCCCAAACAATACCACTGTCCTCGCTCTGAACTGTTACCATCGAGAACGACGGATCCACCATTAGGCATTGGAGCTTGGGCTTCACCGATGGGTCCTGGACAACTTCTCGGAGACTGAAGGAGAGAGGAGTTGACAGAGTGAGAGGAATGAGGAGGGAGGAAGGAACGGCATGAGTAAACAGTCTGACTGCAAGAGGAGATCTTTTTGGCACAGCTCATGGAAATATAACCTGAGGACAAAGCAATTAATCAAATCAAAACATATTCGAGCAACATTTTGGACCACCGAGGCAGCTGAGTTAATCTAAGATGAAAGCACAGTAACACCAGTTAATCTTTTCTCAAGATGATCACTTGAGATTTGCAGATCTCCAGCATTAGACCAGGTGTTTGGTGCCGGGCTGCCAGTGAGAGTGATGATCTGAAAAAAATAATGATCTGATGCGCTCTGAGCCATCCCTCCGGCTATGAATACACCAGAGCCCCCTGAAAGGTGACGTCCCAAGGCGTCATTCATGTAATATTAGAAAAGCGAAACCTGGCCTTCTGGGATGCCTCCAACATATCAGTTTCTTCTACTATTTATGAAATGGGAAGAATAAGTAGAGGAAACTAGTATAAAAATGAGATGTAAAACATGGGGTGGTGAACAACATCGAACATTGATATAGCTGCCACACTGACACTTCTTTACGTGATTATTTAAGGCATTAAGTTAGATTAATGGAGATTAATGGAAACTAAATTGAGTTTATGTTTTCCAGATGGAGATGAGCTACCTCTTCTCCTTTCCTTGTTTATAACAAATTATTTGATGTTAAAAAGCTCAGAGACAAAGAGCTAACATTTTAAAAAATCACTCTAAAACAGGGATAATATGAATAAAAATGAGGTTATTCAGATTCTTTTTTTTTTTTTTTTTAAATTACCTGTTTTGTAGTTCTTCCAATTCATCTTCATCATCCTGGCTCATGACATCTGAAGCTTCACACTGAAACTCCTGCAGCTCCGTCATCTCCGAATACAGACTCTCACATTCGTCCATCTTGGTAATTTCCCCCAAATCTTCTCTTTTCAACTTCAAGTATTGTTTTTTAGAGTCCTCCTGATGTTTTGAGCCACTCTGAATTGGTAGTCGGTCCGCCTGTTTGTGTCATTCTAAGTTGGGAGATGTCCATCTGACTCAGCGAGGGACAGAAATAGACAGAGCCGGGAATGAAAAGTGGGGAATCAAGTAAGACAAGGGCAAAGCAATTGGTGGGAGTGCATATCAGTAGAGACTGAGTCAAACACAGTGAACATTAAGAATTTAGAGTTTCAAAATTTTAAAAAAAGCAATGTTTCATTGCACCTTTGTGTGTGCCAGTGGCAGCTGACAGAGGCAATATGACTTTAAGTTCAAAATCCCCTTCCCCCAGTTAAATATAGGCCATGTGCTGAAACACTACGCCTGCCACCCTGCTGCTGGTGGCAACACACACGCACCCACATATCTTGTAAGCTATCTAACCGCTGACCAGAACTATACAGGAGTCATAAAACAAGTTGTAATAGGGCGTCAAACCATAGAACAAAAAGCAAGTGGCACACTGATGCCAGAGGAGGCTGCAAATAATATAATAAAAAAAGATCCTAATTTCTATAAAGAGCTTTAGAAAAGATTATACGCATAAGCTCATGAAGGGTGAGGGTGAATAAACTGCATTACTTTGAGGAAACCAAAGATCACGACTTGTCACATCCATGGATATGATTGTTCCAAGTTAAGCACAGCGCACGTGGATTGATGCAGAATAAATAAAATATTGTATAACTGGTTAATGATATGTCTTTGAATGGTTGCATCACTGTGCTTGGGAAATTCTCTTAATACAGCTGAGCAAAAGTCTTTTAAGCCTTATATTTTGCTACGAAAATGGGAAATAAATGCAGAGATTTTCTGTTCAAGTGTGCTTTGATTCATTTGTTGTGTTTGTGATCATTTTCATGCTGAAAAATTAAGCTGTTGCCAATCAGATGGTTTCCAGATGGTATTGCATGGCTGCTTGTCTGTGTTCAAAAGATCCCCCAACACCGACTGAAATGACCCTCCACTGTTTTACAAATGCTGTAGACCCTCAATGTTGTACCTCTCTCCTGAACTCCTCTGTGCATATTGATAACAACTTGGAACTTGAATGCAAAATTTCTAATTTTTTACCTGTTGCCACGGATTTGCAGTCAAATTCATGTTCATTTGGCATAGCTCAGCCTTTTCTCCCTGTTTCCCTTCCTTATGGTTTCTTGACATTCACCAGAGCATTTCTGATAAAGCTTTAGTGATCAGTAGATGTATAAACTGAAGGGCCAGATGCATTTCTCACATGGCATTGAAATACTGTTAGTCTGTTGTAGATATATTCTACTTTGATCCTGTCCATTTTCATCAAAACTTTTAAGGCCACAATGAACACCATGCTGAAATGTGCCAGTATTGATTCAGTCTTTTCTAAATTGTCTGTTTTAAGTAGACACAACACTGGTTCATCCCCTAAGGTAGGTGTGATTTTTAATGACTCACATATCAGTGTTAAGTCAATAAACAACATTTAAAAAAAGAACCGGAGGGAAAATGGATGAAAAAGCAGTAAATGTTCAAAGAAAAAAAAAAACCTTGAAAGACCTCCAGAAAACCTGGAGAACTATTGCTCAAGAACATCTGGCTCCTCGGAAAGAAAATATAAAGAAATAAACGGTGGCTCCAAAACATTTGCAAGGTATTTATAGAAAACAATGTCCTTAAACCTTAATTTGCTGGTTACATTTTCAAATGGTCTGACATGTGATTACAAACAACACCTCCCCACCCCCCAAAAAGAAGCCCGTGTACAATTTAATCTGATTTTGGCGCTTCTATTTGCATAGCCAAGATTTTAGTGGACTTCACATGAAGCTCCAAAATATACATTGAAAACAATCATACATCTTTAGAGATTTAATTTTTTTTAAATAAACATTTAAAAGTCAGTAATTCACAAAATGTACAAAAAGAGGAAAGAAAAGACAAATTTACACAAAGTGTAAATTCTTTAAATAACCTATGTATAAGTAATCCAAACATGAGTGGATAACAGGTGTTTTGCCCAAATAAATCAAGTACATTGCTAAAATGACACTGCACAGCCTTTACACCAGACAATGAGTTCTTGATGCAGGACATATGGACCAGTTATTACAGGAAGGGGGGGAAATCTAGAGTCTGGCCTCTTTGCAGCCCTCGAGTGACTTAAAAGTACCCTTATCGTGCTTTGGGGGTTTCCTTAAGTCTGTTGAAAGGTTTGTGTGCATATAAAAGGATTGCAAAGTTATAATAGCCAAAAAAGCAGCTGTTTAACTGCCTGAAACACCTCATTTGCAATCCATGCTCTTCTACAGTTACTTATCTACATCACTAGGTAACAAACTGGAAACCTCCCCACCTAAGCTAGTCTGATATGCCTTCAGACAAACAGTGAGGGCCTGATTAAGTCCAGGCGCAGGCAGCTGCTTGCAGTACGTACAGCTTCTGGTAGCCAGCTATAAAATGTTTCAGCTATGAGAAATCGAACACCAAATATTCTGCAGATGACTGCAAGAGTGAATACGAGAATTTTTATGCACTCCAGACAACAAAAGGTGTGTTTCAGACAGAGGCAGCAAAGCAGTGGGAGATTTCTTTTGCACTTTGAAGCGTGTAAAGAATTTTAGCAGAACCAAATGACATTTAGGAGCCTTTAAATGAGTATAATAAGAGCACTTCAAATTACAACACTGATTTAAGCTTTAGGCGGTGAGCGTGGGAAACTAGAGGGCAATTAATGCGGTTTTAAGCAAAAAGTGTCTGAAGTGTTTAAATCCACCACATTCTCACTGTTGACCTATAAAAATAAAAAATAAACTTTGATGTTACAAGTTGGTCCAGACAGAAACATGACAGACTGTACATGTAAATACGTGGCAGAGATTAATCGTTTTTAAATACAACGCTGTGCAGTATGGCTCTAATAATGTGGAAATTTAACCGAGATCAGTGGCTGGGACTCACCCTTCAAAATAAAATGCTGCTGCTTCCATTTAAGTTAACTTTACATAAGAGTCATCTCCCAGTTCATTGATAAACATATTCCCTGCAGGGAAAACGGGCCACATAGCAGCAATATCCATCTCTTATAACAGGTTCAGCATTTTTCTGTCATCAATTTAGGTAACAGGATTTTAATTTCAGGGGCCTCTAGCATCTCTATAAAATAAATTTTTCCCTCAAATACTGTATTATCCTCCGTTACACAAATTTGACAGCAATGCATTTGAAGTCGGTCATACATTTTGAATATTACAGCCACAGAAAACACAGATACGGAAGCGGCCATGAAGGTGCCAGGGCAGCAGGGTTTCTCTCTCAGAGCATCAACACGTTGTTGCACTGTTTCAGGAGACGGTCTTGAGGTAGAGGACACCAGTTAGCTCATCTAATTAGAGGAATCTCTCATCCCCTGGATGACTCCTTAATGATGATGGCTCTGAAAGGGAGGATCGAGTTCAGCTCCTTCCTCTCGTGTAGTAAACGACACGACTGAGGAGACAGAAGCCGATTATGAATAACTCATATCTGGCCTGTAGTGGCTTGGAGAATGAAGAGCGAGCACAGTTATCAAAACTTCAATGTACCTCAGCAAACTTCGCTTTAATGGCATCGAACTTGAGCTTCTCGTGGACGGCCCTGGCAACGTTATTTCTTTCAAAAGGCTCTGAAACAAAAGGAGTCACTGTTGGATTTCTGTGGACATTTCTCACAGCAATGCTGATGTTAAATGGTGGTGGCCGTGGCCTGTTACTTCCAATAAACTGCATACCTTCCACACATATGAATTTGTTATTCCACTCTTTAGAATTGTTCTTAGGGAACGCTCTGGCTTCTCGAACAGAAATCACCTGTTTATCCCAACTGCAAGACAAAGACAGCAACAGGAAAGGGATTACACTCAGTGCTCGTTAGACTGAAGGTTAACGCAATCTTCAAGCGCCTCAAGGACTACAGCACTGCCTTTGCATACTACTTTATTCCAAACAGAGTGCAGACAGATTAAGTGTCTTCCAAGCATGAGATAGCTTTAGTTTAAGTCATGAAAACAAAGAAAAAACAAAACCTAGCCCTTATTTTTATCAGAATTACAAGAGGGTCACATAACCATGTAGCAGGGAACACCAGATAGGCACAATAAAATACAGAAACAAAATATTTGACACTGTTTTTGAAAAAAATAAGCCGAAATATTTTTTTTTATATATATAGCCACTGCATGTTAACCTTGCTAGCATTGGGTTGGACCCCTTTTCCTTTTTTTGCCTTCAGGATTCCAAAAATTCTTTAATATCATAGATTCAACAAGGTACTGAAAATATTCTTCAGAGATTGTGGTTCATATTGACATGACAGGATCACACCGTTGCTGCAGATTTGTCAGCTGCACATCCAAAAAGTGAATCTCCTGTTCCATCACATCCCAAAGGTGCTCTATTGGATTAAGATCTGAAAACTGTGGAGACTATTTGAGAACAGAGAACTGACTACCATGTTCAAGAAACTGTTTAAAATGATTTAAGTTTAGCGACATGGTGTGTTATCCTGCTGGAAGTAGCTACCACACATGTACACTGTGGTAAAGGGATGAAGCACTCAGCACCAATACACAGGGATCATGGTATGTCATGGTAGTGCTGTGTAAGGCCAAAGGTCTCACCTGCTCCTGCCCCTCAGCAAGAAACATGAAACCAGGGAGGAGGAAGCGGGACAGAAGACAGTGAGGAGAAACGGAGGACTTAGAGGGAGGAGTTGGCGAGGAGAGTTGGAGATGAAGAATGGGAGTAAGAAAATCAACACGGTAAAGAGCCACTCAACATGATACTAATTGGAAGATACCTGAAATCTGTGGCATAGTACTTGAGAAATCCTAAAAGCAGCTCCCCCAGAGAGGACTGGTTTCTCGAGATGTAGGGAGGGATGTGTTTGGGTCCCTCTGGAACCATGTCCAGGTTCATTAAAGGATTAAATGACTCCTGTTAAAATCAAGACACGGGACAAAAAAAACATAATAAGGAAAGCAGTGAAGGAGACTTTATGACACATGCTCAGAAACCTTGCTTTTATATAGGAACATAACAAGAATGCAACCAGTTGAGTTGAATCCACTAATGCAAAGAAACTCATCACGGAGGAGTTGCACTTGCTGGCACAGGCTGACTCAGACAGCCAGCAACGTGTCGGCATGTCTGTCTGCATTTATAAATTAGATGGCGCTTATTTGCAAACCTTCAGCTGCCTGTCTTAGAGTGACTGCAGCGAGTCTGATCACAGTTTTTGTCTTATTTTTCTC